GGGGTATGTAACCCCCAACACTTTTTGACAAGGGTAATGGGCTGTTGAATCGAACCCCCCCCCCCCCCCTTTTCGGATGAGGACAAAATATCGGATTTCGAGGTATTGTCGAACACCCACAACCAAAAATGTATACATGTATACTGGGGAATGAAATTTAACTCCAGCAAATGTAACATCATGCTGCTCAATTCAACCAAAACTTGACACCAAATTTAATTTGGTCTTGTATGTACAAGAATCATCCAAATAACTCATGTACTTTTTCAAGTTACGGAATTTTGAACACAAATCACGTATTTATGTTCGTCATGGAGCCGAGCCGCCGCCATTTTAGAGTGCTGAGTCGCATTGTTCAGGACGCCCTCACGTGAATTGCCGCACAGCTTATCGTGGTTAAAAAAAAGTCAACAACTTGACAAGTTTTCATCATAATTTTGTTTGAAATCAGGTTGCATTCTTAAGATGATATTCAGTTAATTGAAGCATATATTCGGTACGTATATTCACATATGCTGCGCTATAGGATTTTTGGGCCTAGCCTGTGCACAATAATTTTTTCGACGGAACTTGCACGAAATAAATGGCATACTGTGATCATTATGTGTGCAACGCCCTTTAGGCCATCGGCCTGGTCTTAAAGCTTGGCCACCGGTACCAAATGAGGAAAACAAAAGATATGGCGATTTTTGGCAATGTATACATCTCCAGAGTTGGAAAATATGTGATAGCATTGCAGCGGTGGCAGCTTTTAGGGCGCTATCACCCTGGTTTTGTTTCAAATGTCTATCAAAATGCTTGTTACCACTTTAGGGGCGGTTTATCTTGCGCATGCGCACTCTAATCATTTATGCCCTGATTTGATACTGACCAAATCCACCGCTGTTTTCAGGGCAACATTAGGTTTGTGCGCATGTCCGTGCTTTTTGCTCGTACAACACGCCCTCCTGTGGCCGAATTGTATCCAGTCTCTTTTGGGGTAAAAACAGCTCACCGGAGGACGTCTTTTCAATCACTTTTTCATATTACAAATAAGTTTTTGATATTGGAGATATAACAATAAATCGACAGAAAAAGGACTATAATTTTTTCATCAGATAGGACTGTGAAATGTTGCCAAGACACTTGATGAAAAAACACCTCCGAAAAAACTAATTTGATTGCGACGTTTTTATCAGTGTCTCAATCGGAACAAAAATAACGTTCACGTTTACGTTTCTTTGGATTTTTCGTGGTCTGGCGTATTACTGTGTTTTATTGTGCAGTTGAATGGCGAAAACCACACTAGCTCCGTGTTCAGTAAACCAACCAAGGAAACAAATAATTATATACCTGCGTGCGTATCGTGAAAGTATCGTAAAAGGCGCTAAACAACCATGCATGCTGATGACGTTTGGGAGAAAAAAATTCGCGGGCGGGGGGGGGGGGGGACCAAGCGAATGTTAGGCTCTGGAACAGCGGTGGATAGTCTGCTCACCCCATTTTTTCCCATGTCTTGATCCCCTTTTCCAAAATTTCCAGGACTTTTGTTTTACATGTTTAAATTGGGCGGAAGAAATTGTGTACAGGTTGTCTGTCCCACAAAAAAAATATAACTTCGAATCGGGCATGTTTTTAAAAGTGTGGGCTGTATTCAAACTTGATGTCTAATATTATTGTTGATGAGGACCGTTCCAAATGCTTTTTAGTTGGTTTCATTATAAGATGTTTCGTTCAAAAGATAGTAGAGCAAAACGGGACTTGAAAAACCACTTAAGCCATTTTTGTCTGAAATTATATCTCCTGTTCTTCCAAAAATCCTTAATTCAAATGATAAACTGAACCATAATGACCCATCCTTTGTGTGTTTCACTCCGTTTCAAGGAAAGTGGCCCAAGACCAGGGGCAAAAATCCCGGGGGACGGGGGTATGTAACCCCCAACACTTTTTGACAAGGGTAATGGGCTATTGAATCGACCCCCCCCCCCCCCTTTTTGGATGAGGACAAAATATCGGATTTCGCGGTATTGTCGAACACCCACAACCAAAAATGTATACATGTATACTGGGGAATGAAATTTAACTCCAGCAAATGTAACATCATGCTGCTAAATTCAACCAAAACTTGTCATTCAAGACCAAATTTAATTTGGTCTTGTATGTTTAAGAATCATCCAAATCACTCATGTACTTTTTCAAGTTACGGAATTTCGAACACATATGCCGTGTTTATGTTCGTCATGGAGCCGAGCCCCCGCCATTTTAGAGTGCTGAGTCGCAGTGTTCAGGACGCCCTCATGTGAATTTTCGCACAGCTTATCGTGGTTAAAAAGTCAACAACTTGACAAGTTTTCATCATAATTTTGTGGGAAATCGGGTTGCATTCTTAAGATGATATTCAGTTAATCGAAGCAAAATTCGGTACGTATATTCACATATGCAGCGCTATAGGATTTTGTGCCTTTTCTCAATCGGAACGAAAATAACGTTCACGTTTACGTTTCTTTGGATTTTTCGTGGTCTGGCGTATTACTGTGTTTTATTGTGCAGTTGAATGGCGAAAACCACACTAGTTCCGTGTTCAGTAAACCAACCAGGGAAACAAATAATTATATACCTGCGTGTGTATCGTGAAAGTATCGTAAAAGGCGCTAAACAACCATGCATGCGGATGACGTTTGGGAGAAAAACATCGGAGGGGTGGGGGACAAACGCATGTGAGCCTCTGGAACAGCGGTGGAGAGTCTGCTCACCCCATTTTTCCATGTCTTGATCCCCTTTTCCCCAAATTTCCAGGACTGTTGTTCTACATGTTTAATTAGGCGAAAGAAATTGTGTACAGGTTGTCTGTCCCACAAAAAAATACGTAACGTCGAATCGGGCATGTTTTTAAAGTGGGGGCAGTATTCAAACTTGATGTCTATTGTTGATGAGGACCGTTCCAAAAGCTTTTTAGTTGGTTTCATTATAAGATGTTTTGTTCAAAAGATAGTAGAGCAAAACGGGACTTGAAAAACCACTTAAGCCATTTTTGTCTGAAATTATATCTCCTGTTCTTCCAAAAATCCTTGATTCACATGATAAACTGAACCATAATGACCCATCCTTTGTGTGTCTAACTCCGTTTCAAGGAAAGTGGTCCAAGACTAGGGGCAAAAATCCCGGGGGATATGGGGGTATAACACTTTTTGACAAGGTAAATGGGCTATTGAATCGACCCCCCCCCCCCTTTCGGATTTCGAGGTATTGTCGAACACCCACAACCAAAAATGTATACATGTAATACTGGGGAATGAAATTTAACTCCAGCAAATGTAACATCATGCTGCTAAATTCAACCAAAACTTGACATTCAAGACCAAATTTAATTTGGTCTTGTATGACTACACATTTCTAGTACAAGAAACATCCAAATCATTCATGCCCCCACAATTTCTTTTGAAAACGGAGACCGTTTGGCTTAAAAACGGTGGAATTGTGTAAATATACCCAAGGATCAACTCCCTGGTTTTTGGGCTTCCATCTGAGGGCAGGCGTGACAAAATCACGGATGAAAAATGGGTCCTATTTGCCTGAGAAAGTGGAAGGATGCCACTTGTAAAATGGCTACATGCAGGCTTGGTAACTATTACTTTTCGGGCGGTGATTTTATTTGGGTGTGAATATTTAAATATGTAATTGGCTAATGTACCTAAAATTGAAAAGAAATGAAAAGATGAAAGACAAGACAATAATTTAATTTTTGTTTGAGAAACCCCAGTGATGTTGGCTCGCATGTTACTTGGTCCTGAACTTTGTTGATTTTACACAGTTTTCAATGGGGCTTGAATTAGTACATTATACAGTGGACCCACAAATGCTGTGTTTATGTTCGTCACGGAGCCGAGCCGCCGCCATTTTAGAGTGCTGAGTCGCGGTGTTCAGGACGCCCTCACGTGAATCTCCGCATAGCTTATCGTGGTTAAAAAAAAGTCAACAACTTGACAACAAGTTTTCATCATAATTTTGTGGGAAATCAGGTTGCATATAAGATGATATTCAGTTAATTGAAGCATATATTCGGTACGTATATTCACATATGCGGCGCTATAGGATTTTTGGGCCTAGCCTGTGCACAATAATTTTTTCGACGGAACTTGCACGAAATAAATGGCATACTGTGATAAGTATGTCGGCAACGCCCTTTACGCCATCAGCCTCGGTCCAACAATTTGGCCATCGGTACGGTACCAGTTTGACAAAAACAAGCGTTATAGCGATTTTTGGCAATGTATATACCAGTCCTCCAGAGTTGGAAAATATGTGATAGCATTGCAGCGGTGGCAGCTTTTAGGGTGTTATCACCCTGGGTTTTTTTTTTTCCTTCAAAATGTCCATCAAAATGCTTGTTACCACTTTAGGGGCGGTATATCTTGCACATGCGCACAATAATCATTTATGCCCTGATTTGATACTGACCAAACCACCGTACGTATACCAATGACGAGACAATTAGGTTTGTGCGCATGTCCGTGCTTTAGCTCGTACAACACGCCCTCTTGTGGCCGAATTGTATCCAGTCTCTTTTGGGGTAAAAACAGCTCACCGGAGGATGTCTTTTCAATCACTTTTTTATGTTACAAATAAGTTTTTGATATTGGAGATATAACAATAAATCGACAGAAAAAGGACTATAATTGTTTTATCAGATAGGACTGGGAAATTTTGGCAAGACACTTGATGAAAAAACACCTCCGAAAAAAACTAATTTGATTGCGACGTTTTATCAGTGTCTCAATCGGAATTTCTTTGGATTTTTCGCCGTCTGGCATATTACTGTGTTTTGTGCAGTTGAATCGCGAAAACCACACGAGCTCCGTGTTCATACCAACCAGGAAGGAGTTGAGTCGAGTCATTTGCTTGCAGTGACTTGAGTTGAGTCGAGTCTGTTACCCTTTCGACTCGAGTTGAGTCGAGTCGCCAAAATGGTAATACAATGTAATACAGGTGCTAATGTTTGATTTCTGTGATCTTGATACCAGGTTGGGCGTCTGAGTGCAGCTATCTGTCCGCCGCGCACATTCATCGCTGGGTTCAGACCTTCCGGGAATATGATCTGCAGTTCTGTGCTCTTCATCTGCCCCAGGAGTCCTAGAAACAGTTGGCGGATCTTGTACAGTTCAACCACAAAACAGTATGTACTGCCTTGGACAGATTCCTTTTTAGACTTTTCCACAAAGTTGCAGAAAAGCCTTAGTTTTGTGAAGATTTTTTGTTTACTTCATTTTGTTGTATCCCAAATCTCCTAGACTTTGCTCATGCTTTTTTTTTGTGCCCGGTACATTGGACATAAAACATAGTCATATCCCTACGAAACTTAAGATAGACAAAGACCACATACTAATGTTGTGCATAGTGATGTGGCGTTGTCATGACGACATCATGTGTACTGTGATGTCATCTTAAAGGAGCATATTTTTAAAACCCATATCCCAAAAAATAAAAGTTTGTATCGTATGTTGACAGGGATGTGTTAGAGATGAAAATTGAGGCGATGTCATGATGATGTCATCATGTAATTGTATAAAATCCATCAGGGGTGCTCCTTTTTTTTTTTCTTCTTCTTCTTCTCTCTCCTAACTGTATGTGCATGTTTTTGTTTTCTTTACTGTTCTTATTGTCTGTACTTGAATTTTTACCTGTGAAATTAATAAATGAAATGAAATGAAATGTATATGGATTTTTGAAGTTTTGACAATTATGGCCATATCTCATGGAAGGCAGGATGCTAAAGTCAAAACTTTTTGTAATGGGTTTGTCAGGTCATAGATGCTTTAAAAAAAATTGACATGTGTGACATAAGTTGCATCTTAGCTAGCCAGGATAGCCTTACGAAGTAAATCAACTCCATATCCCACATGCTGTCAGCGTGCAGCCATGCACCAACACTTACATGGATTGCCAACCTTCAGCATTTCTAGGCCTCTGACATGTTGAAATAAAGTTTTCATTAGTGTTAAGTTTTCTTTCATTATTTTCTTTGTGTTACCATTAAATGTTTTTATTTTGGAAATTGTTTTTGCATTGTGTTGATATTTGTTTTTGTTTTGAGTTACAATTTGAGTTTGATTAAACAATAGTTGCTCTTTACTTGTGGGACGTGTGATTAGGATTAGCAAAAAGTAATCCATGTCCAACATGTTCACGGAATGTCGATCAATATTCCTCCCAGCAAACTTTGCGAGTAAAAAACAGGTTTGAATGAAAAGACAATTACAATCAACTGTCTTAAAAGCGACAAGCAAGGATCAAAATGTCAACTCTATCAGTTGTGACCACCTCAAAGTTGCTGTGGTTTTTATTTTAGGTTAACAAGCTATTAAATGAAATCATAAAATGCAAAGGTTACAAACGTTATGGAATTTGCGGCAAAACTTACCATTTTGTCTCTATAAAATTCCAAAGAGTGAAATTAGGGACTAGATGTTTCAGAGTGAAAAATCACTCTCATTTTAGATTGAAAAAGTCTGAAAAAGAACCACTCTAGTCGAAGTCGAGTTAAAAAAAATTGATTGTTTTGGTCGAAGAAATTTTACTCTAAAATGTCTAGTCCCTAGTTTCTGACTGGGGGAGTGAATCTTCACTCGAATGGAGTGAATTTTCACTCTTTGGAATTGAGAGAGTTCGTCTTGGTGCCTCCTGGGGATTGTAGGCTTGGCCTACCTTTATGACGCTTTCATGGTTCTTCAACTTGCACTTCATTCATAATGCCCGGAACCCAAAGCTCATTATGATCGTGATTTGAACGGAGAAGCAATATATCTTCCCCTGCCATCGCAGATCCACAAGCAAATTAATACTAAATCTAATAACTTACCTCGTCTGGTCAATAACTTGCAAGTAAATGCTTTGATATCAGAACCGTTTGTTTTATTGATTTGCAAAAGCAATATACATTAGAAAACAAAAACAGGTATCACACAAAATTAAGGTAATTGAAGAACAATATACTAAAATTAGGAAAAACAGACACTTATTTAAAGAGAGAAGCCAAGGAGAAGACTCCAGTAAGGCCAAAAAAAAGTCTCCAGTTTCTGGTATGCGCGCGCGTCGCCGTAGCCATGCGCGTCGGCAAAATTAAAAAGTTTGTTTTTCAATGAAAGATGATGTCTCAACACCGCCAAACTCACTGGCTTGACTGGAATCCTGCTGCTGCACAATTTTAACGTGTTTTTAGATGGGGTTATGATCGAGAATAAGCTTTATGTGGTATCAAATTTCCTAATTTGTACAGAATCGTTTAGTTTTTAATTTATGTAACAAAGGAGGTCTGTCAAGATTGGTGTGACACACTCACAATCATAAAACACATGAAGTGAAATTTCAGGATATTTTTCACAAAAAGAGCAGTTTGGGGAATCTTTTCTGCCAATTTTGAAATGAAAATTATTAAAGGCAATGACCCCATGGAACAAATTAAAATAAACAGATCTCAGTCTAGTTTCAATAGTACATTTACAATTGCGCGTATGAATCACCTCCAAGTCTTCATTCTCCAAATTAATATTAAAAGCACTATTCCTAAAGGTCTTTTGCTTTTCTGACATGAATTTATCAATCATAATGTTGTAAGTAAACTTACGGATTTTCTTGGCCATGATAAGGTTATAATTTAAAATAATTGTAATATCATCACCCTCTAAATGCGTATCACAAAACCATTCCTGATGGATACAATTAAGTAGGGTGTTATACTTTGTTCTGTCCTTGTAAGAAATGTCATATTCAATTATTAGTTCCTCAAATAATCAAATATTGGGTTTTGGTTCATTCAATAGATCCTTCACAGAAATACGAATCATCCAAATTACTCATGTACCTTTTTAAGTTACGGAATTTTGAACACAAACCATTTAAGACATAAATGTGGCCCCTATAGCATCAAATGTGCCCCCTCGAGATGAAAACAAAACTTGCCCTAAAATGTCGAATAATTTGTTTTCTGATTTCCCGAAATGGTATTGAGAGTTATGGTTGAACGAGGAAAATGAAAGCCCCAAAACCCTTACAATGCGCCCTGAAAATGGGTACTTAATGGCCGGTCTTGAAGAGCGCCTTCTATTTTGAAAGATGGTTCCCCCCCCCCCCCCCCATGTCCCCCATGATTCGATTTTACGGAGGCCAAGTGTCCGGTTTATACACGTGTCGACATTTTAGCATGGATGCACCAAATACTGCTGGACACGCTCCGACGCAAGATATTGAGCAAGTGCCTCATTCTGGTGATCCCCCCCCCCCTCCCGTTTGAAACCCGTTTCGCCGCCGCTGCAATTAATCTGATACCCAAACTATAACAATTCACAGATCGCTATTTTGAGAAAGAAAGCAAATGCTTCAGGGTTTGATTTTTGGGTCACCCTGTAGAGAGACACATGCAAGGCAGCAGACCTATGCAGGGGAAGACTACCAAAGAGACTGTTCGAAAGTCGACATCAAATGCATCGGCCTCTGCTAAGATGACACAAACCACAAGAGAATGGTCGTAGGACATCATGAAGTAAATGGCCGGCACCACTCCAATTGGAATGAACGCCATAGATCAAGGTAGGTCAAGGTCAAACCCTAGCATTTTCTATCAATTCTGGCTGAAGTTGAACATGAAATTGCTTGAATCTTGCAGATTCTCGATCGTCCCCAACTGAGCTGCATAAAAATAGTGGCCGCATGAGGTCGCTGTTCGCGCTGTATTTTTACATGCACGGCAGGGGCAACTTCGTCCCCAGTGCTTACTTTATTTCCAACCTCGTTTCCAATAGTAAGCCCTGGATAGGAAACTTTCTTCCTGTATCTGTCGATACCGCAATAGAAATTGATTTATATCGTGTACTTGGTGTTGTCATTCACAACACGCAGTACGTTTTTTTCGCGGTCATTCGACCACGCCTTCCTTAAAATATTCATTTCCTTTCCAATTTGTTCATATTTATATGAAATGTGATACTGAATTTTGTCTCGATAAGATCGTAACAGTTTAATTAAAATAAAATCGTATTTTCGTCACTAATGCCATATGCTCGCGGTACGACGAATTGATTTACCCTAGACACCGCATAAAAAAATGAAAATGAGACACACAGGCAGGCACCAGACTATTTTTCATTTGCATACGTGTTCAAAAATCTTGCACATGGAAATGATCCAATACCAGGGTGAGAGAGCAGGTAGTGGTGGCGCGTACGGCTCAACACCTTAGAAACGAGGTTGCGGCAGGGGTGCAGTGAACTAATTCAAGCGAGAATTTCTACGCCAGCTGATTAGCATAATAAGTGCCCCCACAGTTTCTTTTGAAAACGAAGACCGTTTGGCTTTAAAAACGGTGGAATTATGTCAATATACCCAAGGATCAACTCCCTGGTTATTGAGCTTCCATCTGAGGCCAGGCTTGATTGATACGGTTGAAAAATGGGTCCTAGTTGCCTGTGAAAGTGGAAGTATGCAAAATGGCTACATGCAGGCTTGGGAACTACCACTTTTCGGGAGGTGATTTTGTTTTGGTGTGAATATTTAAAAATGTGATCAGCTTGTCTACCCAAAATTGAAAAGAACTGAAAAGATGAAGGACAAGACAATAATTTATTTTTTGTTTGAGAAACCCCAGTGATGTTATTTGGACCTGAACTTTGTTAATTTTACACTGTTTTTAATGGGGCTCGTTTCAGTGCACCATGCATAGCGCGCGTGGATATGCCGCCGATTGATTACCGCGTTGGCCTACGGGACGAATAACGACGAGAGCATTGACCAAGGCTACAATGGAAATTGCGTCACTTTTTTTGGGGGGGGGATTACTCCAAGATGTTAACCTTTTTATTTATCAACAATCGTTTATAGTTTTGCCCACTTGAACCCTTCAAAACTAACACGGTGTTTGAATATTGATTGGTTCCAGCTGATATGGAAGGGTCTTTTGGGGGGCCCAATTTTCTTTAAAATTCATTAATGTGTTCGCCAAAGTCATGTTCCCTTGCAATATTTTTCAGTTGGCCCTGAAAATGGAAATTCCTTGAAACTTGCAGGGACTCGGGGACTCTTGGAACACATAATTTGCCTTACATAAAAAAAAGAAGTAATTTACGCTTCTACTGATTAGTGAACTCGAAACTAAGCGTCTACGTGAAGCGTCTCCGTAGGCTAAACGCATTATTCACCGGCTTGTGCAGTGCCCTCCCCCTTATTGTAGTCGCCGATTAGTAGTTGCTGATTAATTAGGCCAGACCCCGCCTCTTGACCTCCTAGATTTTGACCAATTAGCGGGCGCTTTCTATATTGGGTCTTCGGTCATTCGCCCGTTGCACGCAATAGACAATGGATTTAAAAACACACACACACACATGTCACGCGTTCTGTATTATGTTACGCGATATGGAGCTGGCTGTTTGTTATTCAAAAGCACTGCATTCAAATTGACCAATCAAACTATTTACTCCTGATTTTGGAATGAAATGACGTCACGATTTAGTAAAGTCAACTCCAATTGGCTTGCGCGTGGCTTGCATTTTGTTTACGGCAGTGACCACAATTTGTGTAGCGCGCCCTCTTTTGACATAACAATTGAACTGGTTGACACGAGTATTATTAAAAGGGCAGATTTTTTACTGCATGGCATTGTTTTTGTGAAGTTTATTTCGATATTCCACATAATCATGTTACTTTGAATTAACATGTGAAATTTCAATTCGATGCAACAGATACTGGAGTTATCTTGTAGAAACCGGGCGTTACTTTCGGCGTGTAATAAAATTGACTCCAGTTCGCCTTATATCTATTCGCGTTTTTTTAATGGTTGGTCATTTTCGCTCCAATTTCAAAAACGTTTGCTAACCAATCACTAAATAAATAAATTCAACCAATATTCCTGGAGTTATTATCCCCACAACGAGCGTGTTAATTTATTATTTTTATTTGACGACTTCTTCAATTTTGAGCATTTGGAGTACGTTATGACGACCAATCACCATATATAATGATACACTAATATATGTCTTGAGTTGTCTGCCCCACAACGCCACGATGTTGTTTTTCTCCCATGAAAGTTGACTTCGGTATTAGGCAGTTTTATCTTATTATGGCTATGGGTGCACACCAGTAAATATAGGCCTAAATGCATCCACCAGGCTCCGTGAATAAAAGTTATTCACTCAAAATATTCTGTATTAAAGAGTTCTCAGAGCCATAAAACTGGGAAATTGAAGAGATATGGCAATGAACCTCTGGCCCGGACCTGGAGCGCGTCCAGTTCTGAGCATCTTGGATGCAATTGGGCCCGAAAGTGGCGCTCCTTTGCCATGTTGTGGAGGGATCGTTTTTCAAGATGGCTACTTTTCCGCTTTATATTGGTCGTCTATTTTGGGTGAGAATATCTCAATAAGTCAGTGGTCAACCCACAAGAAATGAAAATAAAAATGAAAGATGACATGTTAATTATCAGTTTACCGTGTGAGTTTTGAGTATTTTAAAAAGAATTTGGAAGTATGGGCATTTAGCACTAGTGTCTATGGGAATTTTAATACATTGGTGCAAACCACAGTAAATCGGTCCGAAATTGCCTACGCCGGCCAAATCAGGATTTGCATGCCCTCAAATTCTTTAGTATTAGAGCATTTTGAAGGCTGTGAACTTGATGATTTGTAAACAATAAGGTTGGAAGCCGTGCAGAGGACTACGAGCTGGTATTTCAGTGAAATGTAGATGATGATTAGGCCCTAAAATGACCCTATTTTGCGATGGAGCGTAGACGTCCATTTTCAAAATGGCGATGGGCTTCATGAGGGTGCACACCGGTAAATCGATCCGCCAAGCTCATGAATAAAAGTTATACCCTCAAAATATTCTATATTAGAGAGTTCTGAGCGCCGTAAAATTGGGGAATTGAAGAGATATGGTAATGAACCTCTGGCCCGGACTTGGGGCTTCCAATTCTGAGCATTTTGGATGCTATCGGGCTCGAAAGTGGCGCTATTTTGCCATGCTGTGGAGGGATAGTTTTTCAAGATGGCTACTTTTCCGCTTTGGGGAAAATAGGGGTCGTCTTCTTTGCGTGAAAATATCTCGAAAAGTCAATGGTCAACTCACCAAAAATTGAAAAGAAAATGAAAGATGACACATTGATCATCATTTTTCTGTGCAGCTTGAATACCCGTGAGAGTTTTGAGTATTTAAAAAATAATTTTGAAGTATGGGCATTTAGCACTAGTGTCTATGGGAGTTTATTTGCAGGTATGCATCCATGACGCGCAATACTCGTAGCCTCGTTTCCATTTTGTGATTAGACGATGAACGACGTTCGTTTGATGGTGTCTTCATATCTCCAGTGCAAGTAGCTGCAAGTGCGGTCGCAAGTAGCGCTGCTTACGCACCCGGTATCCGCACTCAGTATACTTTCAGATAAAAAAACGGTCTGTTTTCATAAATGAACATCATAAAGAAAATAGATTTCCAATTTTCCAAATGATCTATAATTACATCTTGAGATCGTTCAGACGCATCCCCATAAATGCATGAAAGTGAATACGGAGTGTTGAGTAATTAGTTCTTCCGGTCGCATCATCAGTCCTTTTTAGTTATTAAGGAGATATTTTAAAAGACTTATTAACTATTTTAAGATTAAAACAATGATTGAAATGAAAATCAGGGATCAATTTAATACGCATAATAGTACATAAAATTAATAAATTTACATTCGTAAAATAGTTTTTTTAAAGGAAGCAAGAATATAGATGAATAAATAAGTTTTTTAAGAGAGAAGTAATTCTTCCATTCCCAGACTTAATGTACTAAATTAATGTCCACTTGCAGATAGCTTGCAATGTTCATTTAAATATCGAGATATATACACAGTAGGGTTTTGTGAAATGCTAAAGTTTTTTCTTTCCCCATTTCTGATCTGTATCATTATGTGAACGAAATGTGTCACAGAAAAACCTGCAGAATCTGGTCTTGTACGATGAACATGTACGTGCGGCGCCCGTACATGTACTTCAACGTCGTTAAATTGTTGAATCACAAAATGGCAACAAGGCTACGACTATTACGCAGTTTCCTGCTTTTAGGGGAACGTGATCATCTTCAGATGAAATTTTCTCCCAAAAGTCATCAATAAATCCCCCCAAAAAATTGGAAAATAAAGAAGAAAGATGATAAAATAAGCATTAATTTGATGTGTGTGTGTCGAACCCCTTGGACAGTTGCGAGTATTTTCCCTGAATTTCTGAATTGGGAGCATTTACCATTGGGGTTTATAAAGTTTACTTTACTGGTCTGCAACCGTATGAGGCGTCCGACTTAATATGATGACCACAATTTGTGTAGCGCGCCCTCTTTTAACAAGCAATTGAAGTTGACAGTTGACACATTATTTCATTTGTATTTTTTTTGTGTAGCGGGAATTAATTAAGCAGGATTTTCGAGTCTGCCTGGAGGATCTTCGGCGAGGATTTCAATCTTATTTACTGAAGTATTGCATTGTTAGCGATCTTCTGCACCATCTTGGCGAGTGGAAAGTATTATAAAACTACAACAAGCCTACAAATCATCTCTCGAATGGATTGACTCCAGGAACGCGTGCCGCAATCTGCACTTTTGAAAACGTCAACCGTCCACCGCGCCTTTTCACGGGCGGGAATAACCAGTGCTCGACGTGAGATTGACGCTTCGTCTTGTCTTGATTTCACTTGGTCTTGTCTGAGCTGCAAAGACTTGGTGGTGCAGTTATGACTTTTGTGAGTTCATCTTGTGACAATTTGGGAGTTTTGTGCTGGAGCTCAGCAGTCTGCAAGCCAACATTCAACAACACCGTCGTGGTGAGTGACCATTGCTCTGATAGCGTATGTGTAGTTTCGGACCCCATTCCTATATTAAGATTGCACTCACCCAAAACAGCTGACTAAAAGTAAATGACACTCGAAAGTAACATTCTGATATTTTTTTCCCATCTGAACAGCTGGTAAAAAAGACTTCTTCAATATTTGCAGTTTTAAGTTTGTGTGCATAGGGCAGGACTTTGATTTTCAGTAAAAACTGATTGTGCATGTCTTTGAAATGTCAGTATGAAATAGTGTGATGTGCGTAATAAATAGATTCTGACAATTGATCAATGAAAACATAAGAAAATGTTCAGATGAATTGACTGCATGCAGCGACATTTGTGCATGTGACGGTATTTATGTTTTTCAGCCTCACTATTTAACCCTCTACAGGATGTATTTAAAAAAAAAAAACCCAGGCAGGTACAATGACCAAGACGTTAAAGTTGCTCCATGTTAAAGGGTAGTCCATAACCTTTGCATTGACACCATATCTGCATCTCATCAGTCAGGGATGACCAAGCACGAGTGATTTCACAACAAAGGCCAACAAAGCCCAGGGGTGCGAAATCTCAGCTTTAAAGCTGATTTCAGCTTTTTTGGTTTTGGATTTCAGCTTTTTTCCCTCTCGTGCTGTGTACAAAAGTATAGGAGATTTCCAAAGTTCAGGGTTTTTTTTTACACCTTTTTCAGCTTTTTTCAGCTATTTTTATCAGTGGTCACTCACACCCCTGAAAGCCCTGTTTGCAAGTTTACATGTAAGTTCACATGTCAGTGGTGAGATGAACCCACGTTAAAGCAACAACATCTCCAATGTACCTCTTTTCAATGCACATTGCACATCAACGGCACTTTCTTTGGACAGCTGAGAGTCCACCACTCATGCAGCAAATGTTGTCCATCATTTTGAAATCAATGATGCTCTGCCATCCGTGACCGAAGAGATGTCAATAAGATATCACTAAAAAGCAAATGAACTACCCCTAAAGATGGGCCACTTTGACATTTTTGAAGATCCTAACCTTTACATATTAGCCCATCGTTTTTCGAAATACCATTTTCTTGATGCATCCTGTTCATATGCATTGCAACCGTTAACTGACTTAAATTGTGTTCCAGATGAATTTTGTTTGTTCCGTTCTTCTTTCAACTCAAACATATTCTGAATCCACACCGCTCCCCATTAATGGATCTTTTTCTCACTCTTCAACAGCGAACAACTTTATTTACCGTGTGGAACGTCATCCCACCTCATGAATGGACTCCACCGTGACTACGCTTCTTGAGAGGTTGATATTAGCAGTGTTTTCAGCAGACTCTAAGGCCTGGATCTCGATTGGATTGAGCGCTTGAACACTTGAACACTTGACCCGAGTTGACGACCCCAAGGCCTTGACCCAATGGTGCGGACCCACGGAATTGGCCTGAGTCTTTGGCCCACGGCCATGCTCCGAGTATGTGGCGGTTTGACGGATGCCGTCACACGGACTGGCCCGAGTCATCGACCATGCCTTGACCCGAGGTGCCAAGCTACGGACTTGACCGGAGCCGTCGACCCGCGGCCTTGTGCAACTTGAACACTTGAACACTTGACCCGAGTTGATGTCCCCAAGGCCTTGACCCAATGGTGCGGACCGACGGAATTGGCCTGAGTCTTTAGCCAACGGCCATGCTCCGTGGAGGTGGCGGCCCACGGCCTTGCGCCGGGGTGTCGTCCTATGGACTGGCCCGAGTCATCGACCATGCCTTGACCCGAGGTGCCAAGCTACGGACTTGACCAGAGCCGTCAACCCGCGGCCTTGTGCAACTTGAACACTTGAACACTTGACCCGAGTTGATGACCCCAAGGCCTTGACCCAATGGTGCGGACCGACGGAATTGGCCTGAGTCTTTAGCCAACGGCCATGCTCCGTGGAGGTGGCGGCCCACGGAATTGGCCCGAGTCGGCGGCCCACGGCAAACTCCCGAGGTGCCGGCCCCCGGAACGGGCCCGAGTCGTCCATCGGCTCACGGCCTTTCGCCGGGGTGTCGTCCCACGGACTTGCTCGAGTCGTCGGCCCACGGCCTTGCGCCGGGGTGTCGTCCTACGGACTGGCCCGAGTCATCGACCATGCCTTGACCCGAGGTGCCGAGCTACGGACTTGACCAGAGCCGTCAACCCGCGGCCTTGTGACCACTACCGTGAATGCTCTTTGGAATTCTTGTGGTGAGTTTTATTTTAGAAACAAAAAGAGACCTGTATATGAAGAAATATGATTCCTCGGGTGGTATTTTAACCCCCTCCACCCCACCCCCCCCCCCCCCCCGGCAAAATATACATTGCTTGATCTCCTATTAAAATATGAATTCTAAAGTCTAACTTAAAGTACTCATTCTCAAATTGAAACTTTTCAATTTGAAAATTTCAGTAAAAACTGATTGTGCATGTCTTTGAAATGTCAGTATGAAATGGTGTGATGTGCGTAATAAATAGATTCTGACAATTGATCAATGAAAACATAAGAAAATGTTCAGATGAATTGACTGCATGCAGCGACATTTGTGCATGTGACGGTATTTATGTTTTTCAGCCTCACTATTTAACCCTCTACAGGATGTATTTAAAAAAAAAAAAACCCAGGCAGGTACAATGACCAAGACGTTAAAGTTGCTCCATGTTAAAGGGTAGTCCATAACCTTTGCATTGACACCATATCTGCATCTCATCAGTCAGGGATGACCAAGCACGAGTGATTTCACAACAAAGGCCAACAAAGCCCAGGGGTGCGAAATCTCAGCTTTAAAGCTGATTTCAGCTTTTTTGGTTTTGGATTTCAGCTTTTTTCCCTCTCGTGCTGTGTACAAAAGTATAGGAGATTTCCAAAGTTCAGGGTTTTTTTTTACACCTTTTTCAGCTTTTTTCAGCTATTTTTATCAGTGGTCACTCACACCCCTGAAAGCCCTGTTTGCAAGTTTACATGTAAGTTCACATGTCAGTGGTGAGATGAACCCACGTTAAAGCAACAACATCTCCAATGTACCTCTTTTCAATGCACATTGCACATCAACGGCACTTTCTTTGGACAGCTGAGAGTCCACCACTCATGCAGCAAATGTTGTCCATCATTTTGAAATCAATGATGCTCTGCCATCCGTGACCGAAGAGATGTCAATAAGATATCACTAAAAAGCAAATGAACTACCCCTAAAGATGGGCCACTTTGACATTTTTGAAGATCCTAACCTTTACATATTAGCCCATCGTTTTTCGAAATACCATTTTCTTGATGCATCCTGTTCATATGCATTGCAACCGTTAACTGACTTAAATTGTGTTCCAGATGAATTTTGTTTGTTCCGTTCTTCTTTCAACTCAAACATATTCTGAATCCACACCGCTCCCCATTAATGGATCTTTTTCTCACTCTTCAACAGCGAACAACTTTATTTACCGTGTGGAACGTCATCCCACCTCATGAATGGACTTCACCGTGACTACGTTTCTTGAGAGGTTGATATTAGCAGTGTTTTCAGCAGACTCTAAGGCCTGGATCTCGATTGGATTGAGCGCTTGAACACTTGAACACTTGACCCGAGTTGACGACCCCAAGGCCTTGACCCAATGGTGCGGACCCACGGAATTGGCCTGAGTCTTTGGCCCACGGCCATGCTCCGAGTATGTGGCGGTTTGACGGATGCCGTCACACGGACTGGCCCGAGTCATCGACCATGCCTTGACCCGAGGTGCCAAGCTACGGACTTGACCGGAGCCGTCGACCCGCGGCCTTGTGCAACTTGAACACTTGAACACTTGACCCGAGTTGATGTCCCCAAGGCCTTGACCCAATGGTGCGGACCGACGGAATTGGCCTGAGTCTTTAGCCAACGGCCATGCTCCGTGGAGGTGGCGGCCCACGGCCTTGCGCCGGGGTGTCGTCCTATGGACTGGCCCGAGTCATCGACCATGCCTTGACCCGAGGTGCCAAGCTACGGACTTGACCAGAGCCGTCAACCCGCGGCCTTGTGCAACTTGAACACTTGAACACTTGACCCGAGTTGATGACCCCAAGGCCTTGACCCAATGGTGCGGACCGACGGAATTGGCCTGAGTCTTTAGCCAACGGCCATGCTCCGTGGAGGTGGCGGCCCACGGAATTGGCCCGAGTCGGCGGCCCACGGCAAACTCCCGAGGTGCCGGCCCCCGGAACGGGCCCGAGTCGTCCATCGGCTCACGGCCTTTCGCCGGGATGTCGTCCCACGGACTTGCTCGAGTCGTCGGCCCACGGCCTTGCGCCGGGGTGTCGTCCTACGGACTGGCCCGAGTCATCGACCATGCCTTGACCCGAGGTGCCGAGCTACGGACTTGACCAGAGCCGTCAACCCGCGGCCTTGTGACCACTACCGTGAATGCTCTTTGGAATTCTTGTGGTGAGTTTTATTTTAGAAACAAAAAGAGACCTGTATATGAAGAAATATGATTCCTCGGGTGGTATTTTAACCCCCTCCACCCCACCCCCCCCCCCCCCCCCCGGCAAAATATACATTGCTTGATCTCCTATTAAAATATGAATTCTAAAGTCTAACTTAAAGTACTCATTCTCAAATTGAAACTTTTCAATTTGAAAATTTCAGTAAAAACTGATTGTGCATGTCTTTGAAATGTCAGTATGAAATGGTGTGATGTGCGTAATAAATAGATTCTGACAATTGATCAATGAAAACATAAGAAAATGTTCAGATGAATTGACTGCATGCAGCGACATTTGTGCATGTGACGGTATTTATGTTTTTCAGCCTCACTATTTAACCCTCTACAGGATGTATTTAAAAAAAAAAAAACCCAGGCAGGTACAATGACCAAGACGTTAAAGTTGCTCCATGTTAAAGGGTAGTCCATAACCTTTGCATTGACACCATATCTGCATCTCATCAGTCAGGGATGACCAAGCACGAGTGATTTCACAACAAAGGCCAACAAAGCCCAGGGGTGCGAAATCTCAGCTTTAAAGCTGATTTCAGCTTTTTGGTTTTGGATTTCAGCTTTTTTCCCTCTCGTGCTGTGTACAAAAGTATAGGAGATTTCCAAAGTTCAGGGTTTTTTTTTACACCTTTTTCAGCTTTTTTCAGCTATTTTTATCAGTGGTCACTCACACCCCTGAAAGCCCTGTTTGCAAGTTTACATGTAAGTTCACATGTCAGTGGTGAGATGAACCCACGTTAAAGCAACAACATCTCCAATGTACCTCTTTTCAATGCACATTGCACATCAACGGCACTTTCTTTGGACAGCTGAGAGTCCACCACTCATGCAGCAAATGTTGTCCATCATTTTGAAATCAATGATGCTCTGCCATCCGTGACCGAAGAGATGTCAATAAGATATCACTAAAAAGCAAATGAACTACCCCTAAAGATGGGCCACTTTGACATTTTTGAAGATCCTAACCTTTACATATTAGCCCATCGTTTTTCGAAATACCATTTTCTTGATGCATCCTGTTCATATGCATTGCAACCGTTAACTGACTTAAATTGTGTTCCAGATGAATTTTGTTTGTTCCGTTCTTCTTTCAACTCAAACATATTCTGAATCCACACCGCTCCCCATTAATGGATCTTTTTCTCACTCTTCAACAGCGAACAACTTTATTTACCGTGTGGAACGTCATCCCACCTCATGAATGGACTCCACCGTGACTACGCTTCTTGAGAGGTTGATATTAGCAGTGTTTTCAGCAGACTCTAAGGCCTGGATCTCGATTGGATTGAGCGCTTGAACACTTGAACACTTGACCCGAGTTGACGACCCCAAGGCCTTGACCCAATGGTGCGGACCCACGGAATTGGCCTGAGTCTTTGGCCCACGGCCATGCTCCGAGTATGTGGCGGTTTGACGGATGCCGTCACACGGACTGGCCCGAGTCATCGACCATGCCTTGACCCGAGGTGCCAAGCTACGGACTTGACCGGAGCCGTCGACCCGCGGCCTTGTGCAACTTGAACACTTGAACACTTGACCCGAGTTGATGTCCCCAAGGCCTTGACCCAATGGTGCGGACCGACGGAATTGGCCTGAGTCTTTAGCCAACGGCCATGCTCCGTGGAGGTGGCGGCCCACGGCCTTGCGCCGGGGTGTCGTCCTATGGACTGGCCCGAGTCATCGACCATGCCTTGACCCGAGTGCCAAGCTACGGACTTGACCAGAGCCGTCAACCCGCGGCCTTGTGCAACTTGAACACTTGAACACTTGACCCGAGTTGATGACCCCAAGGC